TTAACCTTAAGACAGAGGTAAGTGGGTGGCAAGTATTATTAGCATGTCAGAATCACAAGGTTCTAAATTTAAATAATGTCTAGTTGAAGGAAAATGTGAAGACTTGTCATAATATGGGAAACACTATTCATTTATAATAAAATTTGATGAAGTTTTAGGAATATGTTTTAACTTTTGAATTGGATTTTTATTTTATAGGCCAGCTTGCTATTAAAAGTCAACCTAAGGCAGGGGGTTGAGGGAAAGCTTGGGTCATGTCAAGAATCAATTTGAACCAATGGCCAATGGTCAAACCTCAAAGAGTTTGAGCCATGAAACAGTAACAGAACTGGATTATAACCTAAAGAACAAAATGAATATCCATGAGTCAATGCTGATATAAATAAGTGATTGAATAAATAAGTAAATAGGGGAGAAGGGATAAATTTTCCTTGGAGAAGAATTCTGAGTAATACATATGAGGGAATGAGGGAAGCAGAAAATCACCACCAGAACACCACAGTGTTCAATGCTGCAGGCAACTTCCAGGGGTGAATGCTAAAATTCGTGGGAGAAGAAACTAGACATTGTCGGGGTCTCCAAGTATCTCCCTCAAAATACTCATGCTTTAACGGGTGTCTAAAAATCCCTTGGTGCTCCTTCCTCCAAGAGCTGGAGTTTCATTCTCCTTTCCTCTGAGTATGTTATAAACTTAGTGACTCACTTAGATAGGGCAGAGTTTGGAAAAGAAAAACTAGAAACCTTGTAGTGGAGAAATCTGACAGATGTCCCCTAACCTAGCAGGTGATTGTGGTCAGTACCATCAGCAACAAGTCATGGTGAAATCATGAGCTAGGATATGTGATGACGGGGAACATAGCCTCTGCAGTGTTCTTCCCCTCAGTCTATAACCCCAGTCCGATCATCAGAAAATATCAGACAAATCCAAATTGAGGGAAATACCACAAAATATCTATCAGGATGCTTCAGAAGTGTGAGGGTCAGGAAAAACAAGGCGAGACTGAGGAACCATCTGGATAGGAAGACTAAGGAGACAGGACGACCAAAAACAATGGACTGCGATGAAATCTCAGATTGGGTCCCAAAACAGAAAAAGGACATTTATGGAAAAACTAAAGGAATCCAATGAAAATCTTTAGTTTAGTTTGCACCAATGTTTAATTTCTTAGTTTTGACAAGTTTATGTAAGATGTTCACAGTAGGAGAAGCTGGGTCAAGGGCATATAGGGACAGTCTGTGCTAACTTTGCACTCTTCCGTAAATCTAAAATTCTTTCAAAATTAAAAGTTTTCAAAAAGTAACCTGCTAACTTCAGTGGGATAAACTGCTGATGTCCCACCTACATGCCATTATGGGACAAGAGCATGTGTATTTTAGTCATGTTTTACTGAGTCATATATATATATATATATATATATTAAAAGTCCACAGGCTTTTATAAAATTCTAGGTTTGTGAGATTTGAGACTGAGGTGGTGGACAGTGTAAATGGAAAAATGAGACTGTGTCTTGGTATCTAGGGACAGAAACCAACATAAGCTAAAGCAAAGGGGAGAATTTATCACAGCGCCATGAATTTCTTTCATAGAAGCCAAGTCACACGGCCTGAGCAGACTGGGGCCAGGACTGTTGAGTCATTGAGAACAGAGGCAGCTCTCCCTTTGCACTTGCTGTGGAATCTCCTGGCCTCTCATTCGTGCTTCTTGCCACACAACAGTTCATCCTTATGTGCAAATGTTAATGCGATGTACATTATTGATTGACGTGTGGACATTAACTATCCTTGCATCTCCGAGATCAATCAACCTTGATTACAGTGTATGGTCCTTTTAATGTACGGTTGAATTTGGTTTGTTAGAACTTTTTTTAAATATGTTATCTCGTTATTTGAGAGACAGAGAGAGAGGGAGAGCACAGAGGGAGAGGGAGAAGCAGACTCCCCGATGAGCAGGGAGCCCAACGTAGGGCTTGACCCCAGGACCCAGAGATCATGACCTGAGCCAAGGGCAGCCGCTTAACTGACTGAGCCACCCATGCGTCCCTGGTTTGCTAGGATTTTGTTGAGGACTTTCGCATCTATGTCCATCAGGGTTACTGGCCTGACCTTTAATGTTCTTCTCTGTGGCATCCTTGTCTGAGGATAGGTACGTCATCTTCTTTGAATGTTTGATTGCATTCACCAGTGAAGCCATCTGGTCCTGGTCTTTCGTTTGCTGGGAGGTTTTTGATTACTGATTCAATCTCCTGGCTAACATTGGTTTATTCAGATTTTCTGTTTCCTCAAGATTCAGTCTTAGAAGATTGTGTATTTCTAGGAACTTGCCCATTTCTTCCAGATTGTCCAGGTTTGGGGCATACAATTGCTTGTAGTGGTCTGCTATGATGTTTTATATTTCCATAACATCAGCTGTTAACTTCTCTTTCATCTTTTATTTTATTCGAGACTTCTCTTTTTTAATTGGTGAGCCTGGCTTAAGGCTCATCAGTTTTATCTTTTCAGAGAACCAACTCTTAATTTCATGGATCTTTTTCTGTTATCTTTTTAGTCTCTATTTCATTTATTTCCATTCTGATCTTTATTACGTCCTTCTTTCTACTAACTTTGGGCCTCATTTGTTCTTCTTCTAGTTTTTTTAGGTATGGATCAAGCCAGATCTACAGCCAGCAGCTTTCAGGGTGTGTAAATAGTCTTGTGGGTCTGCAATCCTAAACCCTGCAGATTTCCAGACCAAGAAGTCTAGAGGTGTCCTCAGGGTGACAACTGCAAAGCTTGTGGCTTTAGAGGTATATAAGCTCCTTTTGGGGTGGTATGTGTGGCCACGGGAGAGCACGAATAAATATGGTTATCTCCCTGCCCATCTCCCCTGGGGGCACCTCTGTGGCCTAGGACTATAAGCCAGACCTAAAGCCTGTCCCTCAGGCCAGAGCTCTGGGACAAGAAACTATGCTTCTTTCCCATGAAGGCTGAGAGTGTTTCCATCTACTGTTTGTACAGTGGCCTGGGGGTGTTGACTTGTCAAGGACTGTCTGTGTCAGGTCCACAGGGTCCAGAGCACAATCCTCCTCAGCCACCAGAGCCAGGGGCTCAAGGGGCTTCACCGGTGTGGGGGGTTCATGGTCTGTGGCTGGCAGAGTGGGTGTGGGGGAAGGTACCCCCCAGGGGAGGGTTACTCTCGGCTGTGGTGCACAGGGGCAGGACCTCTGCCAGAGGTAGCGGGCTAGGGCGGGGAACGGGGTGGATAAAAATGGCGACCAGCCCCCCAGCAACTAGTCCCAACAAGGCAGAAGGAGAATGCAAAACTGGTGTCTGATCAAGCACCTCTGTCCCCAGAGAGGCCCAACAGATTCTTGTCGCTCTGGCATACACGCTAGGGTTAACACATGAGTCTCCCAAGTATATGGTCGGGGTTTCGTGGTGGGTCCTGGGATAAGTGGGTCTGTACATGAGCCCTTTAAGAGTGGATTTTCCACTCCCTAAAGCCCTGTGTTTCCCCTGGCCATAAGCCTGTGGGTGCTTTGGGGGCTCATCCCTCTGATGCAGTTCCCAAAGGCTGGGGTGTCTGATGTGGAGCACAAAGCCCTCCCTCCTCAGGGACAAGCTCTGTAGTAATGAGATCCCTCCCAGTTGCTGGTCTTTGTGCCTAGCCTGAGGTTTCTTGCAAAACCATGCCTCTGTCCCTCTCACCCATCCCAATGTGGCCCTTTTATCCTTTGTGGTGGAGCTGCTGTTCTGCTAGCAGGCAGACCTTTTCACAGGGAACAATTTCATATGTAGCTGTAGATTTTTGTGTCTGTGGGAGGAGATGAGGCTAGGCTCCTCCTATGTTGCCATATTGAACCTCCTCCTGATAAACCGTCTTAATAAAATATTAACAACAGCTGGTAGAACCAAGCAGATCCCCTAGGTGTGCTTTACTTTTTCCTCGGAGCTGGGTCCCAGGGCTCGTCAAACTCCAGGTACAGCTAGAAGCCACTGCAAGCAAGATCCGAGACTCAGCTCTCACCACCGGCTCAGAAAATCACTTTAGATAATTTATAAATTTGATATCCCTATGGACCAGATTTATAAGATAATCTTTTCCTTCTTATGAAAAATTTTGGTTTTTCATGGTAACCTATTTATTCACTAGCTTTACAGACTGATATAGTATCTATACACAATGCCATGTGTGACTTCTTTGAAAGTGAACTTTTTCAAAAAAACAATGACGAAATCCAGGTAAAGAGGAATAAAAATGTTTTAATTGTTGAAATATATTGGTAAACTGAGTAATCTACATTGCAGTACCAAATGGCTACACGTGGCCAGCCTCAGATTAAGAGCTTTCCAAACACCCCACTAACCCATCAGTCACAAGTCGTTGAAAATAGTATAGATTAACACGAAGGGAGGCCAGGATCCCACAAAGGAGGGTGGGAGGATCAATGACTGTGAAGGATTCGTGGTGACATCAGCCTTCAACTACAGAAAATGGAAAGTTAATCAAAATGTGCGTAGGGCATGCAAGTTTCGGTGGCTTTTTTCAACATTGCAAGGTCATACGTTGTTCCTAACAGAAGACAGTCTCTGACACTTACAGAAAGGAGAAAACCCAAAGTAAAAAAGGGAAAAAGAGAAAAGTAAGAATCAATTTAACCATTTTACAGATAAAAATCAATGTAACATAAAAATAGTGAAAGGTAACCCACAAATATATTACTTTAGGGAGTTCATTTATAGTGTCTTCTTAGCTGAAGTTATAAATAGAATACAGATTTCACTATATAAAAACTATCAAAAAAGTATCAGTGAAAAGACATGATTCTCATGAGCTGTGTTGAATAGCCAGGGGAAAAAGCCGCCAGACACAGCAGGCCGGCTCCAGACACCAGGTTTGTCAGCCTGTCTTTCTCAGGAGGACCCCAGAAAGCTCCAGATACCCGTGCATTGTTTATCCGATTCCTTTCTAGGACCACAACATTCAACATGTACTCGTGGGTTCAACTACAGACTCGAGAAGGGAGGGGAGGCAGAGAGGGCGACCAGTTAGAATTTCCTTGGACACTTCTGTGCACGTCAGGACGGCCCATGGAGTGCAATTCCTTCCAAGTCTTAATGAGCAAGCTGTGAAGACCACAAACAGAAGAGGAAAAAGAGTTAGCAAGCTTAATAAAGGACGGCTTAGAAAAAAAAATCAGCCTTAAACCTACAAATTATTTACTGATTTTCTTTTCAGTAAAACACACATGCAAGAGTCACTCAATACTTAAGACTGAATATGTGGCCGGCACAGCGCTAGGCACTAATGACACTTTACAAAAGCGATGAAGAGCTGTGGGGAGAGAGACTGATGAACTTAGAAGTAAAATATGATGTGATAATGGCCAGGCCAAGCTGCGCGTCAACATCACCCAAGTTAAAGATACAGACTGCTCAGCCGTGATGCCATCCCTCCCCTGCGGGGTCAGACCCTGCTAGGAGAGGGGAAGCCCTCCATGCTCTCTCCAGCTCTCTCAGGAGAACCTGTTCCAGCCAGTCCCTCCACGGGCATCTGAGAGCACCCCCCGCCCTGGCTGTTCCCCACATCTAGGTGGGCATAACTCTCAGCCGAGGGTCATTTGTAGAAGAAACTACACATTTGTACTGTGATGTAAGTATTGTAACAGATTCTGTAGTCATTCCTCAGTTTGCTTCAAAAATTCACCAAAATAACTTTGAACTCCTGTCATTGAGGGAGTTTGGTGGCATCATTTTGAGAGATTTGACATGTTAGGTCAAAAAAAGTGTCTCCGATCCTTTGCATAAAATAGCTTCCTCTGCAAAGGACAGTCTTTTCCTCAGTGTTTCTGTCCAATTACTTTTTTTTAAAAAAGGTTTTATTTATTTATTTATTTATTTATTCGAAAGAGAGAGAACACAGGCAGGAAGAACAGCAGAGGGAGAGGGAGGAGCAGGGAGCCCGACATGGGGCTCGATCCCAGGACCCTGGGATCATGACCTGAGCCGAAGGCAGACATTTAACATACTGAGCCAGCCCTGGCACCCCTCTTTCCAATAATTTAAGCCCAGAAAGCCATGAGTTCAGACATGTCACAGGCAAGTATCATGGTAGATGCTTACCAGCTATGGAAAAAGGACAGCATTTCAACTTAGAGCACTTTTCAGGCAATTCAAATGGATAGGGATGGCAATAAAATATGTTTATAGTCACGGGCAATAAAGAGATATTTTAGCTAGCAGTCTGAAGTTGTGGGCTGGTTTACCAGCAAGATTGCTAAATTGTTATCAGGGAATTTGAGATCAACACACAAAGTTGAACAACCATCTTGTCCAACCATCCCATGAGAAAACCAAACTTGAAAAAGCCTGAGAGGAAGTTAGGGATTCCTCCGAGGTCCTGTGTTAGTGACAGAGTTACCACACCTCCTGATACCTAGCTACGTGATACCTCTTTCCACTCTGTTCCAACATTTTTGAAAAACAGCCTATTTTCAGGAGGGTAACATATGCTTGATTCAACTAGACTGTCTTTTCTATTTGATGCAAATAACAAAAGTACTTCTGCACAGTGGAAAACTGGGAGATAACCTAGAGGATTAGAACTCCTTAAAATACTAGAAATAGAAAATCTCAGCAAATGTCCAAACAGAAACTCAAACTCCATGATGTGGTCATGGGTACTAGGGAATAAAGCTCCATAAAGCCTTCACCTTGAGGAGATGGTCTTCAAAGAACTAGCTACCCAAGACTGTTGTACCTCTTGTCAGGAAGAAACTGCTTACAGTTTCTGTCCCTCTTCCCCAGTGGGAAAGCTTATTTGTCTCCCCCTGTTAAGTTTCTCCCGTGACCCCTCCCCATCCCAAACACCAACTCCAGTAATGGACCATTAGCAAGAAGTGGGTTCTGTATCAAGTCAGTTTGCTTTGAGTCTGCCAAAGCCTGGATTGTTGTTACAAAACAGAAGACTGGGATGATGAAAACAACAATCACCAGAACTACCATTTATATCACATCGAATCCTAACAATATCACAGAAACAATCATTCATTTCATACGGAATCCTAACAGCACCGTTCAAGCTAAGTATTGGTGCCATTTTACAGATTATAAAATGGAGGCGACAGGGGGAAGTAACTTGCCCCACTAGTGAGTGAAAGAGCCTGAATTCATATCCAAGGTTGTCTGACTCCCAAAAGAGAATGGGCTATCTCAGGAGATAGGGCATTCCTGATCATGGGATATTCAAGAGGCCAGATGTCAGTCAGCAAGACTGAGAGGCAGTGGGGAACCAAGCATCACGTGCATCACTGGACCAGATGAACAGAGACTTCCTGCCTCTATGAAAATCCTGCATGGGATCTTTTAGAAACCGGCACACAGAGGGTTAATAAAGGAGAGCTTGTTTTCTCCTGTCCTTGTTCCTGCTTGTCTTAGGATAATGCTACCTCCCTATCTGTCATTTCCAAAGTCTTAGCACCTCAGTTTCTGGCAGTGAAGACTGAAACCTTCATGCTTTAGGCAAACACTTAGCTTGTTCTTATTAAATGAGTTAGGTTTACTTATTAAATGAGTTTGCATCTGAAGCAAAATAAAACGAAAAATAAAATTAATTGCAAAGAAAACTGATCTAATTATCAAAGACCCCTTTACAATATTACATGCTCCATTTCATAGATTTAACCACAAGTTGAGACCCCTCTTAATCTTTAAGTTCAAGATTTCTCAGAAAGAGCTAGCAACAATATCTACAGTTCATTCATCATCAAAGCTAAATACGTAAAATTATTTAGAAAAAATACAGTACCTCTTGGTTATGGAGTCATATTTTCTTCTAATCTTAAAGAGAAAATTAAGAAAAGTTAAATGTTCAGATTATAAAGATCATAGTCTAGTTTCCTATAAAATGACAAATAGTAGTGACATATCTGTATTTGCTAGTCCAGATGAGAATGCAGAAAAACAGTGATGAGGAACAAAGAACTATAGTACGTTGAAATAAGATAATAATACAGCCTGTGTGTAAATGAAACATATTAACAGTCCTTTAAAACTATGCATCAGACAACTGTACAGCTGTTGGTAAACCAGCATTCTTTACCAGGAGTCCCACATTTAACCAGAAGCTCGCTCTGTGGCTACTGTTATCAAAGCCTGTTACCAAAAAGACATTAGCCTCACAATTACTACCTATTGAAACAAAAAGGGGCCTCCCTTCATTTAATTATACAATATGCACTTGATTTCGCTCTAATCATCAGACATCTATCAGTACATCACAGGAATATGTTATAAGAATTTACCTGTATTTCTACAAAAACTCCATAAACTTACTGAAACATTTGTTTTCATTGTCATACGGATCGTCACGGAAATTAACAACAAATGTAAATTTACCCATGGAGAAACATTTGTTTCAGCCACGAAACATAACCACAAACAGAAGCTAAATTTTGCTCCAGAACTTCTCTCATCACATAGGTGGCAATTTCAGCAAATGATTACAATGAACAGACAATGGCTTTTTCTACAGGATTAACAGCAACTGAGTAATATGTAGGTTGAGTCAGGCATGCTGAAATATAGATTTCATAATTTTCACAAAACAAAAAGATAAATATGGAGAGAAAGTAAATCTCACCATTTTACTTACTTTTTCGTACAGTCTTTGTTTGGTTGGATACCATGTCGACAGCTTCAGATGGCAGCCCTACATACACCCCTCCGTAGTTTCTTAGAGAAAACAAGCAAGAGACAGAAAAATCAGACCGTTATCAATGATATTCTATATCCACAGAAAATGTTAGAAGCATGGAGTACTGCCAACAATTACAAAATTATTAAAATAACTCATGACTTTTCAAAAGTAGAATTTGGAACATTCTTGCCCTTGGAAATATAATTTTCTCTATGTTAAGAAGAAGCTCTACATGAAAAAAGAAAGCTAAGTTAAGTGAATAGAATTTTTAGATATTTAACTTGTTATGAGAAAGAGGAAAAGAAATCAGGATGTTTATTATTTCGTAAAGTAACAAATATCCATAGAGTAACATGTTAGAGTTAATCCATCAACGTTCATCAAGAATTCAGAGCGGTCAGCGTGGTAGTAGGTGCTATGGACATACAGAACATTTCCCTGAAGGTAGATACAAACAGGAAAGGAGGGGAGAGAGAGCTAATGAGTAATGAGAGTAGGATGCAGTCTACCAGAGGAGGAGAGGGAGGGTGGAGTGGACAGGGAGAGTGAATGAAGTCATCCATTGGGGAGAAGGCCATGTCCAAAGGCCATAGGATAGAAACTAGCACAGGCCATGTGCACAGGACAAAACCCAAGCTTGCCTGAAGGCAAAGATTATGAACTCAGGGCAAGTTCTTTTTCAGATCACACACTCCTACCTGTATTCTCTGCGCCAGAAGCTGTCTGGGTATAATCTGTGTTATTGATCATGTACTACATACAGTGTTAAATTATATCCATGCATTAAATTAATCCATGGACGATGGCAAAAATTATTCAAATTAAAGCCAGCTTCAATGTCAAACATACCTCCTCTTGTCGTCTTCCGTTATCGATTCTTCTGTTCTAAAAGATCAAAAATATTTGCTATAAGCCATCTGGTCCCATAGTCAGACACTTCATTTTTGGTTATGAGGAAAACAGGGCAACTAAGAAAGAGTCAATTGAGTTTATTTAAGTTCTGCCATCAAGTATGTTTGTAACACACTGTCCTTTCCACCTCATTCATGCATTAAAAAATTAGTCATTTTCTCCTTAACAAAATGTGCAGATCCAGCAAATGCCAAAAAATCCAAGTGCTAAACAAAAGGACATACAGAGGGCAACCGAGATTGCAAAAAGCACAGTAACTTGGCGTCAGGAAGCCGAGATTCTTGTCATGGGCGTGCTATCAGCACAGACAGGCTGTGGGCAAGCGGCCTGGCTGCATCTCATCTAGAGAATGAGGTGGTCAACCAGATGATTCCTAAGGTCCTTTCCAGTCCTAGGGGACTAGGATTCTGTGATTCTCCTGCCACTAATGACACCACTCAATGTATGAAAGATTTCTTTAGTGCAGAAGAGGTTGTGTCCATTTGATTCCCTTCTATCTAAAAAAAAAAGCCATTTTATACATGATGTGCACAGAGAAGGAGGAAATGCTTAAAAGGAAATTTTTAGAGGGAATCAGTATTTTTTAAATGCACAGCTTCTTTCCTTACATGAGAGGAATTCATATTCTACTGATATTCCTTGGCATATTTCTAAAAGGATTGGGAAACTTTCCTTCAAGCACTAGTTAGCATACATAAGTTACTTTTCTTAAAGAAAAGACCCCAAGATTCAAATGCATCTGGCTGAACCCAACATGTAATTCTAAAGGGCTTCAGCCAAAAAGAAAGAAAGAAAAAAAATCGAAATAGCTTCTGAATCTATACATTTTAAGGACCGTCTAATCATGGTTTTACCCATTTAAAAGCTGTGAATGTTTCCAATGTACATGGATGGGAGATTTTGCTTCTTTGCGTCTGCCAGTAAGTCTCCAGTCTACAAAGAAGGGAGGTGCAGATTTGGAAATCATCCGTGGAACCCTGGCCGCGCCCATAGCTAATACTCCAATCGTAAAACTCACTTTGAGATCCAATTTATCCAATCAAGCACACAACCTAAATTCACCAGATAATTGTCAACTTCCCTCATCTCCTGCTAAAGTTGGATCTTTCTAATTCAAAGGTGTCAAAGTCATACTGTATTAGAAATGGGGTTATGCTTATTGAAGTGGTTGTTTACTACTTTTAATTAAAATGGATTTATAACCCATTAGGATAGACAACAGGAAAATGATGGTAACTAACTCGGTGGAGTATGTTAGGATTGTCTACCACCAGTCCCAAATGGCTAATGCCATCATGACATTGTTTCTGAAGCTACAGGTCACTGGTAGTTTTGGACACATACAATGTCTCGTTTTCTGGCATAGCTATTCTTTTCATATCCAACTCTGTTTATGTTTTTTAAAGATTTTATTTTTTATTTGACAGACAGAGCTCACAAGTAGGCAGAGAGGCAGGCGGGGTGGGGGGAAAGCTGGCTCCCCACTGAGAAGAGAGCCCAATCCGGACTCAATCCCAGGACCCTGGGATCATGACCTGAGCCGAAGGCAGAGGCTTAACCACTGAGCCACACAGGCGCCCCCAACTCTGTTTATTCTAATTCTTTCTCCCCTTGCCTAATTCTGCCTAAGGATATATTATTAAAGGTTTTAAAATATATTTTAACTCCCCTAAATGTAACAAAACAGTAAACTATTTTTAACCTGCTATCTCTTATAAAGTACTCAATACCCTGAAACCCACTCTGTGTCCATTGTAAAATTAATCAACAACCTTGTACATCTAACTTGCAGGAAATGATGATGTAGCTGCCATATGTATTGTATAATAAATTAAGCTTCAGATATATTACTAAATCATTAACAATACCATTTATAAAGACTCATTGGACGTATACTCTTCTGAGCCTTCAAATAAGTTACAATGCCTGCCTTTGTATATACACCCCCCACATATGAGACTGAGGCTTTATCCACTCCTTCCGCAAACAATTATTCTACAGTATGAAGACCACATGGGTAAAAATGGCAGCATCATGGAGTCTTTCCTGCATGTCAGATACAGGGCAGGATACTTCATGGGCATCAGTGTAATTTCTCACAACAGCTCTGAGTTTAGACCTGGGAAAATAGGTCCACAGAGCCATGTAATTAATAAGTATGCGAATCCAACAAGTAAGACTGACATTTAAACCCCATCTGACACCAAAAACCGTGCTCCACACTCTAATTCACCACTTGCCTCTCAAACGGGAAGATGGAAAAGTAAAAACACTGCAAATGACAAACCAGCCTGCTGGCTGCTCTTGACCTGGGGATGCCTCCACACCACTCCCGCAGAAGCTTCGAGCATCCCCTCATCCTCACAGCCTCCCGGGGAACTGCACGGGCACCTCTAGTGCTATGGTATGGTTTCCTTCAGTCCTCATCACCATCCTGCACAGCAGGGATGAGCCACCTTTTTAAAAATTTTTATTTATCTATTTTAGAGAGAGAAGGAGAGAGAGCAAGTGGGGGTAGGGGCAGAGAGAGAGGGAATCCCAAGCAGACTCCAAACTGAGTGTGGAGCCCAGCATGGGGCTCGATCCCGGAACCCCAAGATCATGACCTGAGCCAAAATCAAGAGTCAGATGCTTAACCAACTGAGCCACACAAGCAGCCCAGCCACATTTTAATGAAAAGCTGAGGCTCTGAAAGGTTGAGTAGCATGGTCAAGGTTACACAGGTGGGTAACCATTCTGTATGATTCTGACTCCTGCTTTACAAACTGTGAGCCCACACTCAGTGCGTGAGAGAAACACCCCATCTCCCAAGCTGGATCTCTTCAATTTTTTCATCCCATTCACAGAAAGAAGAAAGCGAGACAGTTAAGAGTCTTAGTCAATATTTTGTTAGCATTAGAATAAACGTCCAACTGTTCCAGGGACAATGGATCTATGTAGAACTTGCTGGATTGCTGGAACTCATTTGTTATCCAAGTACAAAAATTGTTCTGATGGACAGTTATGTTAAAATCTCTTCATCTGGACACCCAAGTCCAGACTGAGGTTAAATCAGAAAATAGTGGTTGGTCTAAAATCAATCTCCTTATGAACAGACAGGTCCAAGCCGATATGTGTATCTGCCTGGGAACCAAACGCGGCCCCGTCCATGTCTCCAGGAGGACAGCGTCCTACCACCTGGGGTGATGGGTCCTGCCCCAACTGCATTAGAAAAAGAAACGGTTCACCAAGCAGCAGTAAAGATTCCTAAAAGGCTATCTCTTACTGGTAAGAGAAGTGGATGTTATCCTGGGCTGTTGTTGAACTTAACACACTGCTAAGTGCTTACCAAGCCTTCCAAATTCTAATCCTTGGGGAAATTCTCAAGTTTTGAAGAATGCTGTCAGAATACCTGGGCTGCCCCACCTGTACCCCATTTTAAGGACTCACTGCAACTTTCTTCTCCTCATAAAACATATTTTGAAAGATTTTGTTATCAAACCACCTTAATAATTCACTGGCAGATATTTTCTTAGACATTCAAGTGCCAAAGAGAGCTTCTGATGAGCCTGGGATAGCTGAGGTTGGAGGTGGGGGTCTTGTGTCCTCTGAATCAAAAGTGAATAAATTCTACATTTTGATAAGCCTGCGCAGTCTCCTTCCTGGCACATGCTGATTTCCTTTCGGGTTTCTGAAGTAATGAAAATAGTCTGTGGTCCTTCTTCAACCCAGCTGTTGCAGAATGCCAGGCTGGGAAGCGTGCTCCAGCCAGTGCATCCCGCCACCATGGAGGAATTTCTGGTTTTCACTGAGGACTTGATTATGTTTCTTTTCTGGTCACTACAGCTTAAGGGAGAGGGGCAGGGGCTCCTGGGAGGCCAGCAGCTGTGACTGTGGCTCAGTTGCTAAATATGTGCCCCAAGTCAGTGGGGGTGGCGGAAGGGAGGACAGAACACGAAGCCACACCTCCCCCAGCTTTGTGAGAACAGCAGCCGTGGACAGATGGTCCAAAAGGTCCTCAGAAATAGGCAGCACTCCCTTATCTCCTGCCAGCACTGACACAGGGCAGGAAGGACAAAGACAGAGATGACTCTGGCCTCAAAACTCCCCTTAGAGGTAAGAGCCTGCAGATTGAACCGTCAACAGAGTGAAACCAAGGCCAATGCATGGTCCGTGACCTGGAAAAGAGGGCAGTCTGCTTTGCTGCACTTAAAAACACCTGACAGAGGGTGCTGGGGCGGCGTCTCACTCTTGATTTCAGCAGGGATCACAATCTGGGGGTTGAGGGATTGAGCCCAGTGTCAGGCCCCACTCTGGGCATGGAGCCTGCTTGGGATTCTCTCCCTCCCCTTCTCCCTCCTCGCCTCCTCCCAACTTGTGTTCTCCGTCTGTCTCTCCCTCCCTCTCTCCCATAAAACAAAAACAAAAACAAGCACCTCTCATGAGCTAGCTGGTCCAATTATCTCTACAAAGTCAGCCTACCCATACGCTTGCTCCCTTAGAAAAGGAGCAAGTGTGCACATCAACCGGGATAAGCCTCCTATCACAGTAAGCCGTTCCCAAAGAATAGTTTTGAAACAGTTCTGGAGTCAATGTCCAGGAACCTACAAGCAGAGGCACTGAAAACTGGGAAATGGACCAGAAATGGGGAAGAAACCTTGAGAATGAGGTTTCTACTAGGACATCCCCATTTAACTTGCCTGTGGCCCATGCAGAAGGCCGGTTTATTTTGGAGAGTAATTTCGATTACTGTAAACCTCATGAAGGGGTGATTTCAGCTGCTATTCAAGCTGTAGGGTCTTTATTGAAAATAATCAACTCAGCTATGTGAGAAGTTTCTCCATGTTTTCATTTTTTCAAGTCTTTGGTGCCAGCACTAACTTCTGCAACTCCTCCTAGAGACGCTGTATCCCTTTTTATTTCTTTTTCTGGTAGGGAAGGAACATAACTGCTCTAGTAAATGGACACACGTCCCTTTGAGGAAGATGTGGAGA